TATGACCCTGGTTTTTAACACAGAGCTCCTAAGACTTTTGAGATGCCCTGAATAATAGAAGTATCAAACACAGCAGCCTAAATCCCTTGCAATTTTTCATAACAAAAGCATCTTTCATTCCAATAAGGTCACTCTTGGTGGGCTCCTGGGTAATTTCAGGAATAGGGCCGGTTTTCAGGAGCATCCACCATATGATTAGAGGGTTGGAATATTTCATTCCACTCCTAACTTCATGGAAGAAGACAGAGGTTACAAGTGGGGTTGATCATCAATGGCCAGTGATGTCCTCATTTGTGGCTAGGTAGTGAGCCTCTATAAAACCCCAAAAGAACAAGGTTCTGACAATGTCCAGGTGGCCACATATGAGGCTGGCACCTCCACAGAGGATACAGAAACTATGTGTCCTTCCCCACAAACCTTTCCCAATGCATCCTCCATCACAGCGAGAGCAGTTTGGGGTTTGGTTTTATTTTATTTCCAGCCTGTCTTAAATAGCAAAACATGTCAGTCTCAAAACTAAAAGCAAAAATAGCTGCCTACTTTCAAAGCCAACCTGATTTCCTCTCCATTGTTCTCCTCCCAACCAAGAAGAGGGAGCTCCTACCACCCCAATATCATTGTCCAAATCTATGTTTTCCTGCAGTGAGCCTTGGCAGATGGGAAATGGAGTGGGATCCACTACTCCGACATCTACCCTACATATGAAGCCAAAATCATCAGTAACATTAGTGACACGACACCAGTGCTTTACATGATCATCTTTCTTATGGGTCACATGTGATGTCAGCTTTCAATTATCCACACAGGGGAAGAGAAGAAAAATGGGATGGGGCTTGACAGGAGAGCAAGTTCAAGGTAACAAATAAAAACCAGTTTGCAAATAATAGGTTAAGAGGATCATATGTGTTTAGATAATTGAGCTGTGACCATAGGCAAGCCATTTATCCAACAAACTTTGTGTGTATAAACCAGGACTTCAATTTATTAATTTATGGCCAGAAATGAATGCACTGTCATGCAGCCCAGACATTCCCATCTGTCTGACGGAGCACACATTTGCTCCAGCAGTGGTAGCTGCTGGGGAAGTCAAATTATCAAAAGGTTGCTTGGTGGCATGGAATCAGCCTGAGGAGTTTGTTCTGTAATTTAAATTTAGCAAAACTGCATTGGCCTGTATATGTCAGCCATCATGTTGGACAGTGAGGACGAGAGATGTGGTGTCCAACTTTTAAGGGTTTGCAACCAAACAAAGAAGCATGATCAGGCAATAATTTGATGAGATCAACACCATATCAGAAATATTAGACAAGGGGCTCAGGTGTACATCCATGGTACAGTGCTTAGCTAGCAGGTATAAACCCTGGGTTCAATTCCCAACATAAAAATGTAGAGAGGGAGGAGAGGACAGAGGGAGAGAGAGAAGGAGGGAAGGATTCAAGGGAGAGAGCGAGAACAAAGAAATAGGGGAAAGAGACAGAGACAGAGCAAAGAAGGAAGGAAGGAAAGAAAGAAGGATATTGATAGAGGTAGGGACCCTGAAGTCCTGGAAAACTGTCATTTCTATGATGTCTTAAAGGATTAACAAATGAGACTGGTGGGGATCTGTGATGGAGTGGATTTCAGGAAAATGAAAGAGTGTGTGAAAAATACAGGGAGGGGAAGGGTGTGAAGGGTCAAGATCAGAACCGGAGTATGAAATGATGATCGTGGCCACGCCAGCTCATGGCAGTGCTCAGATGTTAGGGAAATCAGGTGCTGTTTCAAAGCCGATGGTGCCCAATTACATGACATAATATTTACTTAGGCCACATTTTAAATGCTGTGAATGCTTATGGTCTCTAAACACCCTGATCTTACCCAGAATCACGACAGGATGCAAGCATTTGTATTACTGAAAGGATGCAAAGCTCACTCCAGGGTGTAAAGAAAGTATAACCCCATAAATGATGGAAGCATACTTTCAAACCCATTTTGCAGATGGAAAAATTGATGATACAAAGAAAATGACATCAGTGGGCAGAGATAGGGCTGGGGCAGGGCTGGAACACTAGTCAGGGTTTTCCAGAGAACTAGAACTAACAGGATAGGAGATAAAGACACAGATAAATGCCTGGCCAGCACCCCATATGAGAGATAGACAAAGACAGAAGAGAGTGACAGAGAAACATATGTATACTAAAGAAGTGATTCACACAAATGTGAGGTCCAATAAACCCATATTCTATTGGGCAAACTGACAGACTAAGAGCTGATTCTGAAATTCAGGTAACGGTTGATGTTGAAGTCTTTGGTTCATTTCTACTAAACAGCAACATGAAAACTCAAATGGGTTTTCTGTGTCCCAGCCTTCATGACTTCCTTTACTTTCAGATACCTAATTTTGCTCGTTAGGTCTTCAACTGATTGGATGAGGCCCATCCACATCTTAAAGTGCAATCCATGTTGCTTAAAGTCTGCTAACTTAAATGCTAATTATATCTCTAGAATGCTTTCACACCAACATCCAGTCTGGTGTTTGGCCAAATGACTGGGCACTATTAGCCAAGATGATATACTACATTAACCCTCCTGCTATGCCATTGCCCTCTTTTCTACTTGACAGAAGAATCTGGAAACTTGGAAATGGTTCTCACAGAAGCTCCGGCTTCTATGGCCCCTTCATTCCTGAATCAAGGGTGTTGGAGCCATTGCCTGGAAGACAGCGCCTCCCTCCCAGGAGCAGGGAAGTGGGCAGCGAGGCTCCAGGCTTACAGGCTCACCCACCACCAAGCAGAGCAGGTCTCTTTAAAGCAAACTTCAATTGTTGGGACTGGGTCTCCTGGGCTGATACAATGACAGTCACTAGTTTCTGCCATTTCAATCCTTAATAAGAACAAATGTGCTGAAGCACAGTTCACTGATTTAACAGCGCTGAGGATTTTGATAAATGACTCCTTTACATTTTCATTTCATAGACGTTAACATCACACAGTGAAAGTTAGGAACGTGCACTGCTTCACGATACAAAACCTGCTAGCCAAGGAGACGCTTCCCTGTGGGTAAAGGGGCAAGCAAGGGCCTCAACAGAATTCTCTGCTATAGTCCTGCTTGATGCCCGACCTGCACCCCAAGCTTATCTCTTCCAGGGGGAAAAGTGGGAGGCTACTGTCTCCAGTTTTAGAACAAGAAGGCAATATTTTATATTACACTGATCTACATCAGAGACTGTGGTTCCATGTAAATCTCATTCTTTTCTTTGGATGGAAAAACATAAAAACTCACAGCAGTAAATGTACATATATGTCGAACTAGCGCATTATTTCAAGGGATGTTCAAACCAGAAGGGATGTTAAACCACACACTCATAATTTTATGAATTCTCTAAAGATCAAAGGAGCCAAGAACAATGGGGCCAAGGTCACCAAGTCTTGCTCCAAAACCAAAGTCTCCAGTCCCATTTCAGCTTCCTAGAGTTTCCTTTCTAACCATCCCCACATTGGCCCACATTTTTAGCCCAAAGCATGTTAAACACACAGTGTCAGCCATGGTGTTCAACTATATCCACTTTAGCTAGTTTAGGCAGAAAAAAGGAATTATTAGAAGACATTGGCTAACTCACAAAGGAAATTAAAAAATAGTTTAGAAGCTACATGTCCTGTAGCAAAACTCAAAATATAAAGTGCAGGTTTGGAAACAGCCACCAAGCTGCTACAGGTTGAATACACCTGACCTGAAATGTTCAGGACCAGAAACAAGTATTTTAGATTCCCTAGATTTTCAGATTTTGGAATATTTGCATAAGCTTTCCCAATTAAAAATTCCTAATCTGAAAAATCCAAAATTGACATTGCTCTGAAATCAGACTTAATATTTTAGTGCTTTTTTTAAAATCACAGATGCTCAACTTCCACTGAGCACTGAATTCAATGCAATGGAAACAGCTTGACTTTAGCACCACTGAATCTTAGGTCCTGATCACCCAGCTCATCTCTGAGTCAAAATTTGACCTTGAGCCTCCAGAAAATCATAGTTTTAATGTCTCAAATTGAAACACCACTGTAACCTCCAAAAGCCAGACCTTCTTCAGCCCTGAAATCACATGGGCTATTTCCTAACTGTAAGGGAGGCTGGAAAAACCCACTCTGAATCTATTCTCAAAATCTGGGACCTGACAAGTCCATTCACGAAGTCAGGGACTGGCTTCAGCTCCAAGTGAGAAGCAGTGCTAATCCTCAGTGCCCTGTCTCCTCTGGGATGCCATGACTTTACAATTGTGAGTTAATTATGGGGGTTCAGAATGAGATTTGCACAATTAGTGAACTTGGAAGAACTGAAATGCTTTAGGGACCACTTCTGAATATTTTCCCATTTTTTTCTGGAAGTAACTTAATCTCCAAGGGTCACACTACTGCTCCCTAGTCTGACCTACCTCTTACACTCAGCTTTTTACCTTATCTGAGAGCCTTGTCTCTGTCTTTCTACTGTGGAAGAAAGTCCACACCCATGAAATTGAGTCCTCAACACAGCACAGAATAACACAATGTTTTCTAGTTAATATTCTATATTTGGGAAGTGAGGAATCACTAATGAAACACTTATTTTGTCTTTTTCTTCTTAAGAGATTCAGAAATAATTTTATGGTTTCCTTAGCTCATTTCCAATAATACTTTGACAGATAAGATGCCAAAGCCCCCTACTGAACTTCCAAGCAATATAGAGCCCTTGACATGGAGTGAAAGTTTAAATGGAGCCCGACTCTTTTTACAGAGTGTTTTGAAAACTCCCCGTATTGCATGTTGCTTTCTCAAGCACCACATTTGACTCCATTCTCTCCATCTTCCATGTTTTCTCTTTTCCCAGGGGCCTTTTATGCGATGGTATTAAGAATTCAATTGCATTCTCCAAAAGTTCACTGTTGAAGTCCTAACCCCTAGGACATTGGAATGTGATCTTACTTGTCATAAGGTCAATACAGATCTAATTAATTACATTAAGAGAAAGACATGAGGGTATGTTCTTACCCAATGTGGCTGACGTTCTTTAAAAAGGAGATGTTTGGGAGCACAGACACACAAGGAAAATCCTATTGAGAATAAAGACAGAGATCAGGATATATTGCTTCTACAAAATAAGGAATATCAAAGCTTGCCAGAAAAGCAGAAGCCTAGAGAAATTCTCTCTCATAACTGGATGGAAGCCACCCTGCCACCACTTGATCTCTGACTCTTGTTTTCCAGAAATGAAACAATAAAAAAAAAAAGCCCCAGGGTCCGCGGTTCTTTGTTGTGGCAGCCCCAGCATATTTACACAGAAAGCTGCAACTTGGAGCAGTGAATCCCATGGTTATTTAGGCAAGTAACCTAGGAAAAGGAATCTTAAGGGAATTTATTTACTTCCCTGTTCTCCTAAAGGGGAAGATCATGGGGAGCCATATAGATGCTCAGTGGAACTGACATATCTGCAGGAGTAAGTCAAGACATCCAGTTGACCTCCACACCTTCTAGCATCCTCTATCACAACTCTTCTCCAGCACCACCGAACTCCTCATGGATCTCCTAGTGTGCAAGGCCTGCCCCACTGTGTGCTATTGCCTTCTCTGGAACACTCTTTCCTGTTCAATAATCCTCCTTCTGCAGAAAAACAATTATTCATCCTTAATACACAGCTCGGATGTTGTCTCCTGTGAAACACCCCATACCCTCAGTCAAAGCACATTCTCCCCTGCTGCACATTCTCACCACTGGTGATTTATGTCACTACCACTGCACCTTCTACCTGCTGTACAACTTGTCAACTTACTCATCTGTCTCCCCAGGCAGACCGGAAGTTCTTGGAAGACAGAAACCACACTGAAGTCACTTTTAGTATTTCTGAGGTGCAAACTACACAAAAAGGAAATCTGCCCCCATTACCTACTTTCACCCAGCAAATAGAACCTGATGCCCTAATCTGGATTTCCTTGGTTAAACACTGTTTCCTTTAGAGATTTTCTCCAAAATACCAACCAACATGAACTGTCGTGATATTACACATTTTGCAGAATAAGTGGGTTTGCGTCTTTAAAATCCATGTTACTATTATGGCTTCCAAATAGCCTTTTTAAAAGTGTTGCTTGTGACCTGCTCCTTCTCTGAGGAGGAGCATCTTTATGCACCATCTTTACTACCTGAAAGTTATGACCTACTCTTCTTCAGTGATTGCAAGGCAAACTTAGAAGAGGTCTTGAATTTTACTCAGTGCCAAAGGAAACCTGGCCTTTTAATGTGTGAGGTTCTTGGCTAATGGACACACTCCTCCACTTTCCACAAATGCTGTTCTTATCAACAACAAAGTCTTGTTTGGGGGTTTTGACTGTGATCTTTTTCTCCACAATCACTGGGTTATGCCGTGATAAATGCCTAGCAAGCAATCTGAACAAATGACCAAAGCTAAATCAAGACTGCATTTCAAAACACAAAACTATATTTAATCATGTAATTAATGGATGTTATTTTTCTTTTCTTCAAAATTGTTGCATTTCTTCAGTTACCCATAGTTTACTTTTTCCCAAGCCTCCCTGTTTTTCCACCTTTTCTTTTTCTTCTTTCCACATAATGAAAGGTAAACATTGTCATAGTCCTTGAGTTCACCCAGCTGAAGGAACTCAGTGATGCTGATATAAGCAAGTGCAAATTCAAACTGAGAAGCTATCAAACCCAGTGACATTTTATAGGAATCTGAATAAGGTAATTATTGCAAGAAAGTAAATTTGCCCAGGGGAACAAAAATAATGGAGAAAAAAATGATTGAACATTTCAAATGGAAGAGATCGTTCACCCTGAGCTATTGTGGAAGCAAGGATCTCGGGACTCCACTAGTCTGTGTGCGAAGATTTTCCCCGAACAAGTTCTATTCATCAGGTTGATTGCCTTTACTCTGGTGTCCCACCATTGTACCTATTTGGAAGAGCAAAGGCCACAATGAAGCCATCCTAACCCCACTGACAGAGGCTGAAGTGTGATTTTCATCTAAATGGATCTTTCTTCCTCTGTTACTTTACTGATTGCCTTGACTTCTTTTCTCAAAAGATGAAACCACTTTCTTCAGTCCTTGCTTCTATATAGCAGACATTCTGCTAAATAGTGGAAATCTCAGGATGAAATACAAACGTCCATCAGTATCTATGGGACCCCTGCAGATACCAAACTCCTCAGATGCTCAAAGCCCTTAATAAAATGGAGTAGTATTTGCATGTAATCTATATACATCTTTCCATTTACTTTCAAATCACCCCTGCATTGCTTATAATGCCTAATACAATGTAACTGCTATGTAAATAGCTGTAATAAAATATTGCTCAGGAAATGACAAAAACACAGATCTATACCTGTTCAATACAGATGCAATTTTTTCCCAAATATTTTCAAGCTTCTGTTGGTTGAACCTGAAGATACAGAATCCACAGATCCACAGATATGGAGTGCTAAGCATACATACAAACATGCATATATCAGCACACAGTCACACAGAACACAAGCACATAAAACGCAAACACATAATCACATGCACAAGTACATATACGTGGCCATGCATACACCTACAAATACACACAAACACACACATACCCTTCTTCTGAGGAGATTCCAGTAAGCAGGACTGCTAGAATTTAGCAACATAATTGCAAAGATGGAATTATATCCAAAGTAGAGTACAAATGTGATTGAGTAGCAGGGTTAATTCACTGGGAAAGTATAGGGAGAGATTTGTAGAAATGCTGAGTTGAAAGTTAAATGGTGGGAGGGAGGGCAAATAAGATGAAAGAGAGCACCTTGGGGAAAAGAAAACACATAGATGAGAGCTAGTGAGGCCAGAAACCTGGCTCTTTGAGGGAACTCCTATAGTTCAGGGCTTCTAGAAAACACAGCCACTTACTTCCTAGCTTCTCTATTCCTTGGAATGTGGAAAAAGACTCAAATATAGTCCCAGATACTTTTTCTGGCTCACTGGGTCTGGAAAAAGAGGAAATAAAATGTGACTTTCCGATGCATTTGGAGATGTAGAATCCTAGGAACAGAGGATCAGGTAAAGTAAACATGGATGTGTCTCCAGCAAGCCTGCTTAATCAGGACATGCCCCTTCTTCATCTGTGGCACTTCTGCGAGTGAATAAGCCAAGAACACCAACAGATTGATCCTGCAAAATAAATACATAAACACTTGGCTGAGTCATTCAACAGTGTGAGCTTTATGTCCTCAGAGGCTACATTGTCTCCTCCCATATCTAACCATACCTGAGTCTTCTCTGCCACTCACCATATATGGCCAATCCTTCTGATGTCTGTGACACTCAAAAAACACCCACACCCTTCCCCTCCTGCAGGGTCTCACCCAATCCAACGCGTGCCTGTCCTGTTGCAGGAGCTCCTATCTGCGCTTCCAGCTTCTGTTCATATTTCTCTATCATGCATCCCAGCCAGAGACACCTATAAGAAATGGAAGGCAGATGAATGTTAATACAGGAAGGTTATGGTTAATACGTTGTGTCAATTTGAGAAATTATTTGAACTCAGAGACTCAGAAGGGAGCCAGCATTCTTTCTTTGTAAACACGCTCATCCTATACAAGAGGAGGGCAAGGAGATTTTGTGAGTACTTTGGGGAGGGGGATGATGCACAATGTAAGGGGTGAGAAGAGGTTGGTTCTCCCCACTTCTGCTCGTTGCTTTGCTGTCTTTTGCCACCTTGAAGTGTTGCCTCGGTGCCAGGCCACCTTGCCTTGGAACCAGCTGACTATGGACTGAAACCTCTACAAACTGTGAGCTAAATAAAGCTTCCCTTCCTTAATTTGGGGTGTCAGGTATGTTGTCCCAGAAGAGTAACCAAGACAAGGACCTTCAGATTATCCTGGGGAAATAAATGTGACTCCCAGCCTGCTAAATGTTTGGTACACCAAGTTCGTGTTTCCGTAATCAAAGAATGAATTCCAAGGAGCAGAGGTTAAGAGTAGGAAATTTTATTGAGAAAGCGACAGCTCCTGAAAGAGACAGAAGGGGACCTGAGTAAGTTGCTAAAGAACCAACTTCTCAAAGGAAATTTTATAGCATGAAATCATAAGGTGAATACAATGTGGGTCAAAACTATTATTGACCAATAACATAACAAGTACAACAGCTTAGTCAATATTGATCCAAAGGGGATGTTGACTCTCTTGAGGACCTAACCTTGTCTGACTGCCTATAATATTTCTACCTAACTTAGCTGTCCATAATAATGTCACTCCTGCTGGCAGCCACCCAGAGGACTCCATTTTATGGACAGTGGTGGACAGCACAGCTCCAGAGCCTTGCCCTGGGTTCTGCACTGTGTTCCACTCTAGTCACCCTATGCCTCAGTGTCCTGTTCTAAAAAGTGGGGTTGACAATTACATCTATGCATTAGTTGGTTTTCTGTTACCATAACAAATACCTAAGACAAATGAATTTATAAGAAGAAAAAGTTGTTTCGGCCCACAGTTTCAGGTGTTATAGTCCATGCTCAGTTGGCCCTCTGGTGAGGCAAATCTCCATGATGGGGAGTGCATGGTGGAACAGCCTGCCTACCCGATAGCACCGGGAAGCAAAGAGAGAGAGGAATAGGATCAATTCCCAAAATCCTTTCAAGGGCACACCTCTAAGCAACCTAACACTTCCCCTTAGGCCCCACCTCTTATGCTTCAGAATTAGCAGCAAGTAAGGACCAAATCCTCAACACATGAGTTTTGAGGGCAATTTAATATCCACCCAATAGCGCTATCATACTATTTTTTTGAGGATGAGATGAGTTACTGTATGAAGGCACTAAATCTTTATTAAAATAAAATTCAGTTTCCTTTCCATGATTCCTGTCTGTGTCTCACCCCATTCTGATCTGCACTTAGTCCTTCCCTCGGTAGGTAACAGCCAAACTGAACAACTTCTCCTCCTCTTCCTCCTTTTCCTCTTCCTCCTCCTCTTCCTCTTCCTGCCCTTCCTACTTCTCCTTCTTCTTCCTCTCCCTTCTCTTGCTCATCTCCTCATTCTCTACTATTTCTTCTTTTTGAGAAATGGTATGGCCCAGGCTGACCTTGAATTTATGAGATTCTTGCTCAGCTTTCTGGGAACTTCTTGATCATTACATAGTTTGGGAACTTCTTGATCATTACGTAAACCAAACTCATTTCAAGCTTTGGTATTCTCTCTTCCAGGCATCCCTCTGTGAAGATCTTCACAGCTCCCTCTCCTCCCTTGGCCACAAGTGGAAATGCCACCACCTATACACGCTTATCTCCTCCTCCTGTTCCTCCTCCTCCTTCTTCTCCTCCTCATCTCCTCCTCCTCCTCCTCCTCCTCCATTGCCCCCTCTCCCTATTGCTTGTCTTCATAGTGTTTATTGTTATCTGCTTTATTGGTCTGCTTAGGTATTGTTCACCTTCTTCCATTTAGAAGGAAAGTTTTATGGGAGTGAAACATGCAACAGAGTGTCTGGCGCACAGAAGGAACTGAGAACATATGTGCTGAAAGGATGCATGAATCCATGCAGTTCGCACCCTGCATATATTTACTGAACACACTGAAGTCAGCTTCTAACTACTCCTGGAAACAAACTAAAGTTTAAGGAAACTCAGTCTCTGCCGTGTAACAGATGTGAAACTCTGATGCCATGTGATCCAATTAGCATCACTCTTGAAAGGGCATTATTCTTGGATATGATTATACCATCTGTCCTAAAAGCTTCCATGATTCATAACCAGATAAGTACTGAACCCCATTTGGCAAGTCTCATAAAGTAACTCCTGTCTTCTCAGCTGGGTTCCAGCCATGTGTGGGCAGTGTTTTGACATTTTCAAATGAAATATGGGCTCCAATGAAAAACACAGAAAGAGATGAGATGACATGGGCAGGGCGGGAATATTATATTCTGTAAACTGCCAGGGTATAACTAGGATGGAAAAGATAAGTCTAAGTCTAGGAGAACGTTGAGAAACATTGTCCATTGGAAACTATGAAACTCTGATCTTATCTCCCTAAAGACATTGCTAGTGGTCCCATTACATGTAAATGAACAAGAGCATTCCCTACCTGTATGATGAGAAGGTCCTAGAGCTATGGGTTATGGTGGGTGAGTTGAAGAAAACTAGAGCCAAGAGGGAAAGAACTATCTCTATTTTACAGATAAGGAAAAGGAATTGAATGGCTGTTGTATCCCCTTCCTCCTGATGAGACTATTCTTAATTGAAATACCTTACACACCCCATTCTTGGTTGTGATTTAAATGAGGCTCTTACTGCATTCCAAGGTTTAGTATACATTTTAGTTCTAGCCAGTGTTGGGAACTCTCTTCATATGATTAGCTCAGGGATAAACACATGACCTGTAACAGGTAAATGAGAGGAATTCTACGATTTCATTTTTCAGAAACTAATGAAAAAGAGAATCCTTCTCTCTAGAGCTGTTAATTTCTAATAAGACATATCTCGTGCTGTGACTATCAATTTTCATTCTTTTGTAGATCAACTATAATAGTGGCCACTCCTTTGGGAGTTTTCTTTTGGAGGGCTATATTTACATCCCCTTCCTTAGCCTTTCACAGAGTTACATCCTCTCCATGAACATTTTGTGAGCATTGCAGCCCAACTCTTGCCCCGTCTTACATTTATATTTAGATGTCCCTCAAGAGACTCATTGCCCATAAGCATGGTATTTGGGAGGTTAGATTAAGGGGCCTTATAGCTAATTTACTGTTAGGACGTTGAATCTTGTCAGAAGAGGCGAGTTACTGGGGTTGGGACCCGGAAATCTTTTGGTGGAGTTTTGGCATCTTCTATCTAGAGTATCATGTCATTTGTGAATAATGATAATTTAACTTCATCCTTTCCAAACCTTATTCCTTTTATTTCTCTCTCTTGTTTAATTACATGGGCTAATTGTTCCAGAACTATATTGAATAGGAGTGGTAAGAGTAGAAAACCTTGTCTTGTTTCTGATTTTAGAGTGAAAGTTTTGAAGTTTTGTCCATTTAGTATGATGTTGGTTGTTGGTTTTGTCATAGATGACTTTTTATCAGATTGAGGTAAAGACCATCTATTATGATTTTCTGTAGGACTTTTATCATGAATGAGTGTTCAACTTTATGAAAAGCTTTTTCTGCATCTACTGAGATGATCATGCAATTTTTGTTTTTGGCTCTGTTGATATCATAGCTGGATGCAAAATCAACACTCAAAATCATTATCTCTTCTGTATACAAACAATAAAATCACTGAGAGAGAAATTATGGAAATAACACCTTTCACAATAGCACCCAAAAAATGAAATACTTGGAAATTAATATAACAAAGGAAGTAAAAGATGTATGCACCGAAAATTACAGTACTATGAAAAAGAAGATTGAAGAAGATAACAAAATGGAAAGATATCTCTTGCTCATGAATACAAAGAACAAACATTGTGAAAATGGTCATCCTCCAAAACTGTTATACAGATTTAATGCAAACCTGATCAAAATATCATTATCATATCTCACAGATCTAGAGAAAACATTCCTAAAATTCATTTGGAAACAAAAAACCTAGAATAGCAAAGGCAATCCTGGGTAACAAAGGCAAAGCAGGAGGCATCACAATCCCTGACTTAAAATTATACTTCAAAGCTACTGTGATAAAATCAGCATGGTACTGGCCAAAAAAAACAGGCTTGAGGATCTATAGAATAGATTAGAAGATGCAGATATAGCTACAAACACACTCAGTCACCTTATCTTTGACAAAGGGGCCAAACATGTTCACTGGAAGAAAGATAGCTCTTTAATAAATAGTGCTGGAAAAACTGACTTTCTACAGGCCAAAGACTAAAACTAGGACTATGTCTATCATCATGCACTAAAGTAAAAAAGGACCACAGATCTAAATATTAAAACACAAAAACACTAAATCTATTGGAAGAGAAAATAGAAATCTTAAAACAGAGAGGTAGGCAAAGAGTTTATGAACAAAAACCAAACTGTGCAGAAAGTGTTTGAAAGAATCAACAACTGAGATCTCGTCTTATTAAAACACTTTTGCATATCAAAAGAAATCAACAGACTAAAAAGAAAACCCACAAAGTGGGAAAAAATTTTAGCCAAGTGTCTCTCAGACGGAGGACTTTTATCTAGAACATCTATAGAATTAAAAAATCAGGCCCCCCAAATTCAAAGACCCAATCCAAAACTGGGCATCTGAGATGGACACATAATTCTCAGAGGAAGAAATACAAATGACAAATATATGGAAAAAATGTTCAACATCACCAGTCATTCAAAAAATTTAAACTAAAACAACACTGAGATTCCATCTCACCTCAGAAAGAATGGCTATTGTCAAGAAATCAACCAATAACAAATGCTGGCAGGGCTGTAGGGAAAAAGAAACACTTCACTGTTGGTGGGAATATAGACCTATGCAGCCATTGTGGAAATCATGTGGAGAT